TAAACACTATAATTAACATGGTTCTCGCTGTTTGTTTGTTTGTTTGTTTAAATTTGTGTGTCTGTAGCTGTGTTTCTGTTTGTTTATCTGTGAGATATCTCTTTCACTTTCTTTTTCTCTTTTATATTTTCTCGGATGTATTTCCTTGCATTATTTTACACTGCCCCTTTACACTTCCTTAATAACACTTACATGGATATATTTCAAAAGTATTGACTCACTGGATCGTTAAACTCATTCACACACGCATCCAACCACCTGAACACACACAGACACACACACACACACACGCACTAATAAAGACAGACGTATACTACCTCCCACCCACCTCGGCAGCACATAACAATAGCAAAGCCAACCAGCCTAAGACCGGGAGGATCCACCCACGACCAGTGACCACCACTGCTGGCCGAGTGTCGCTCCTCCCGTCCTGTCCTATTGAATGTGCCCATTGTACAGCTTTTTCCTCCCGTTAACTCTCGTTGTTTCGAGCTCTATGAAATTCTGGTTCCGGTTTACTCACTCTCTGGCTGCTCTAGATTGTTTCTGGGCTGGTGGGAATGACATCAGAACATTGTGGACTTGTCACGGATTTTTTTAATGCTGTTGTAGTGGTGGTGTTGGGGTGGTGGCTCTCCTCTTGCTTTTTTTTTTTAAAGAGGGTAGTGGGAGAAATATGATGTTTTGATGGAACGAGTGAGTTTGGTGCATGTGTGAGTGTTGTTACAATATTAGGAAGTTGGTGTGTGTGTGTCTGTACAGATGTATAAACGCAAACATATGCTTAGACACACTCGCACAGACACCGACACTTCCATCCCCGTCACACACACACACACACACACACACACACACACACATCTTCAGCGCTATACTCCGGGAGGGTCATATAATAACACATAAACTACTCTTTTCCCTCAATTTCCATAACATTAATCATACTCCAACACAATTTCCTCTATTTTAAACCCAATTTTGGTCCGGAGGAAACTCGGGAAAACTTGGTAACATTAGCCTCAAGTTTAAGTTGCAGTATTACCAGACACACGTCATGCTATTATGGCTAAGCTGCAAAATATGCAAAAATATGGACCAAGCTTACGGGAGTCGTTCATGGCCACGCTAAATCCTGGGCGAGAGTGTTGCGTTGTGTGTTTGGCAAATATCTCTCTTTTGTTTACCTGTTGTGGCTTCCTGGGTGTGCTATCTATTTATGAGGGGACTTAACCGTTCCTCTGTGTCTGTCTGTGTGTCTGTCTGTCTGTCTGTCTGTCTGTCTCATCCCGTCTATGTTTATTTCTTATTATTACAATCATCTATTCTCTTTGTCTTTCTCTCTGTATCTCCCAACTGTATGTTTATTTCTTTCTCATCGCACCTCTTTTTTCTATATGTTTTATTTTCTCTCTCTTCTCACTGTCTTTCTCACTTATTTTATCTCTTTCTCACTCTCACCACCCACACCCTCTCTCGATGCTGCCAACTCTTGCCTCTACATGTCTCGGTCATAAAGATCCTGTACATCCGTATCCCTTCCTCCCTCTCTCTCTTCCTCACTCCTTCCCTTCCTTCCCTTCCAACCTCCATCCCTGTATCCCTACCCCTCTCTCTCTCTCTCTTTCCCATCCTCCCTTTCAACCTTCCTCTCTCCCTACCATCCTCCTCCTCTCCCTTCCTCCCTCAAACCCAACAAACTTTTTTAACAAGGCAAGGGAGAACAGGCCCAGTAAGGTAGCGGCCCGCCCATGCCGTTACATTGTTTATGGCACTACAGTATTGGGGAGAAGGGGAGGGGGTGGGAAGGTAAGTTGGAGGGTGAGGGAGGGAGAGTAAGAGAGGGAGGGAGAGAGAGAGAGTGAGAAGGGGGGAAAGGGGTGGGTGAGGGGGGTTAGGGAGGGCCACAAGACGTCGATTACATTATATTTATGGCTCTATTATACAGGTGGATTACATTTAAGACTTACGGAACTTTTGCATGAGTCGTTTATTTCACCGGAGAGGAGATTGGCTATTGACATGATGGTGTAATAGATGGGGGTGTATTAAGTATAAATTGTATCTATATGGGCCCTGTGTGCAGGTGATTTGTCTTGTTCGTCTTAAGGCGGAATAATGCTTTGAGGATTACTATGCTGTTGTCCTCACTCTCTCTCTCTCTCTCTCTCTCTCTCTCTCTCTCTCTCTCTCTCTCTCTCTCTCTCTCTCTCGGGTTGATAATGACTACAATACTGGAATTACAGGTGATTTAAAAGAAAGGTAAGAGAGGTGTCGGTGGGCGAGTGAGGGGGAATGATAATGGGAGAGAGGAAAGGAGGTAGATGAGGGTGAAAAGAAACAAAAAGGAGACGAGGAGATAAAGTAAATGAAAGAAAGGAGAGAATATGGGAAGGAAGGAATGAGTGAAGGAAGATGGAAGTCGATGCGGGAGGAAGGAGACGGGGTGAATGACGAAGTGGGGGAGGGGTGGAAGTGGGTGAAGGAGGAAATGAAGGACGGAGGAAGAAGAAGAAAGAGGCGGTATTCGAGCAAAGGTGAAGGCGTGTTAAAAAATATCTTAACATGAAAACATTACCATTGACATAACATCATACATAACATCTCCTGACGTGATTACATACTCAGTCAAATTACTAGAAGGTGAATGAAATGATCGTCCGGCAATTACCTTCTGATGAACAAAATTGTCAAAATTGTCCCAGTGATGGCCTGTTTCTACACCTTGCACAGGGTAAAAAATGTTGAGAAATCATGAGAGGAAGGTGCGTTAGGTGGTAAATTTTAGTGTTTAACTACGTCTGAAAATACACGGATTAGAGCAGCGTCTAAGAACATTATCCTTACCGGAAATTCAGTGTCTCGTAAACATTATCTATTTATTTATTCACTTTATTCATTTATTCTCCTATGGGAAGTTTATTTTATGAGCGTTATTACGTAACGTCCGATATGTTAATTTCATTCATAATTATATTAGCTTTCAAGGGCTTAAGGAAATAGATTTACGGTCATGTAGTAGCTGAAAAACTATATTTTGAAATAAATGATTGAGCATTGGCATTGAATATACAATGTATTTGGTTATTCATTCAAGCATAATTATTATTTTTTTAGCTTTCTATGAGATTCGTGAATAAATCTTGTCAAAGTGGTACACAAAATCTAAATCTAACATAGTAAAAATATAATATTAAACGGAATAGTCCAAATTTACTATGCATGCAAATCTAAGTTAACTAGTGGAGAGAAGAGAGAGAGATGTATTCAAAGATAAGCAGAAGCAATGAAGCAAAAAATAAAGAAAGGGGAGATAACGAAGGGGAGAGAGAGAGAGAGAGAGAAAAAAAAATCAATGACTTACCTGAGACCATCGTATTTATCCTGTTAATCATCGACACTGTTGAAATATGAGGTCATTGTGGTGCTTCATTACGATAAGACACATACACCCACTCACACACCCCCACCCACACCTCTCTCCCCACACACACACCTCTACCCACACACACTCACCTATATCACCATAATATATTAAATTATTTTTGTAGAGGTCAACACTCACTGCTTACTTACACTAATGAGAGTGACCGCCAACACCACCTGTGTGTTCGAGTGTTTCCATTCCCTAGTATCATATTAATATAAACACAAAGTACAATAAATATAGTTGAGAAGGAGAGATGAATTAGGTTTTCAACAATCACGAGGTAACAAAAAGGAATTCTTCAGATATGTAGATCACAAATGTTAATGAGACATATACACATATAGAAGCACACACACGCAAATACATACATAAATAAATATACGAGTATTTAACATAAACAGATAGACTATGTTCGCAAACAAAAACAGTAATTAATTCCTATACAAGTAGCACTTTGTGCAATAATAGTGATATCACTCTTAAATATAACATGGTCTAAAATCCAGTTGAAACTCCGTGGCATAATGACTTCCTAATACCTTTGCAGTAAGTGAGTAAAGTCATTGGATATATACCATTATATACAATATTAGTTGAACATAGTAAACTTTTAAGAGCAGTGACAATATAAAAATATAAAAACACAATACTGTACAACACACAAGCATACTGTAGACAGAATAACAAAATATCCTAAGGAAGAGTAGAATGATTAGTATATAATAATGTTATAGTTTGAACACTTATATTCATATTACATGTATTTAATCAGTACTGAAGTGCTAAATCTTACTGATATACATTCCCCAGTACCCTGTTTGGTTAAGTGTAAAACTTAGAACATCACTCCCATCTTCAAGGGCTACTTGAACATGGCAGCAGCATTTCTAGTACACCTGTGAGGAACCCAAACTGATCCTACACAGTAGGGCCCAAGATTCTGGGGAGTGACCAGAAGCCACAGGGGAGACAGACCACCAGAGACCACTGTGAGCACTGTGAGACAGCTTGAGGATTTTCATTTGGAAGTTTGTTTACACTTCCGGACTTTCGTGTGGTCTCTCTCTCCTTCACTCGACAATTATGGGTCCCAGCAACACCCAGGCTTTGCCCTCAGTCTTTTAGCAAAGCTAATGGGGTGAGGGGCGAGGCAAGAGGAGGGGAAGGTGGGTGGGAGATTGAGGAAAGGAAAGAAAGCGTGGGGGGAAAGGAAGGAGGTAAGGAGAAGGACAAAAGGAGGAAAGGAGAGAGAGGAAAGGGTGAAGGAAGTGGGAGGGACAAAAGAAGGAAAGGAGAGAGACAAAAGGAACGGTGGGAGGGATGGGGGAGGGAGGAGCTCACACCAGCAGCCAGCAGCTGTGATCAAACATCACACCTTTGACCCTCGACCATGTTGGCCGTGTAAACCAACCCGCCTCAGTGTGCAGAAAGCCAAGCTTGGACAAGCACGAGGAGCGTTGTTTACCCTTCTGACCCCCAGCCCCAGGGGTGGCTCCAGCTGAGAACACACACTCACACACACACACACACACACGCAAACACACACGCGCACGGCTTTTATCGAAGTAATACTTACTCCATGGCAGGCCGTTCCAATTGGCTGTCAGACCCCGCCATTGGTTTTCTGAAAATTAAAAATAAAGGTACAAATTAATGGTCTCTTATGATTCTCGGTAAAATCCTATTTTTTAATAATATATTTCCCTTTTTTCTTTACTAAAGAAATATTTTCATATTTCTTGTTAGTTTTGATGTGATATTTCTTGTACCAAACATTAGTTGGACTGTATGTTAGTATTCATTTAATTTGCGACTTTACCAATTGTCATGATAATAGGAATTCCATTTACAATACAAACGACTTTAGAAGCAATCCACACTGAAACCTGAATCGAACTGCCCGAAGAATCATAGAGAGAGAGAGAGAGAGAGAGAGAGAGAGAGAGAGAGAGAGAGCTATAGCTCAGTCTCATTTTAGTGAGGAATATACAGATAAAAACTAATATGCTCAGAGTGGGTCAATTCTAACAGAGAGAGAAAGTACCAGTGTAAGTGAAGCAACTTTGTTTTCACTCGCAACAGACCCAAGTGTTTATGAAGCGGGGCGACCTTGGCACTCAACTGTGACTGTAGACTAAATGAAAGCTTACAATATAGTCTTCAAATTGTGTATCAGTTCCCTTTAATATCTACATTAAGTATCTCTGAATAATAAACAGAGTGAACAATTCCCTGGTGCATTTGGTGATAAATAATGCTGGTCATTAGTTGATTTTTTTCCATGTACTGTTGGTATCAATCCTTCTCTCCCACTGTCTCTTTCTCTGTCGAAATCATCTTATCTTTTTTAATTTCTTCACTCCATATATCTGAGATTTAAACCATATACACAATTATTCTCTCGTCGTGGTTTACATTATTAAACCCAACAAGGTCTGGCTAACATCATGTTACACTGAGAATTTTATTACCACATCTGATAAATAACTCAACTCAAATTATGAATTCATGGGAGTAGGAGCGATAAGCGTTCAACATATTTTCTTTTTATAGTATGTGCTTAGTGGAAATGAACCACCTTTTAGGAGGTCACTGCCTCTGACCTCACAGACGCGTGCCATCCATGACCCCACATGACCTGAAGTGACCTTGAGGCTCCAGTTTTTCTCTTACTCCTCTTCATGACCTTCTGTAACCCTATTTTCTCTTTGTTAGAAATCTCCTTTATTCTTTGCCCTCTCTCCCGTCTTCTATATTTTACCTGTTATTTTAGGTTATTCGACTCTTAATCAATTTCTTTTTTAGTTTATTATTCCTTATCTGTACTTTTCTTCTATTTTCATTTACCTTTCAAACCTTACCCCTCTCCTTCTTTCCTTTTCTCCATTTTCCTCTCTCCCTCACCTTCCTTCCTCTTTTCTTCTCATTTCTCTCTCCCTTTGTCTCCCTTCTTCTTACCTCACTTTCCTTCCGTCTTCACCTCATCTCCCCTCCTTCTTCACTTCCTCTCCTCCCCTTTACCCCTCCCCCCACATGTTTCCCTGATCCCCACGACACAGAGAGACACCAACTCACTGGAACAGGTAAATCCCCACCATGTCTCTTACCTGTGTTTCTTCTCAACAATCAGAGTTGTGGGTGACTCACTCGAACCTCAACTCCAAGCGGATTATACCTCAGGATATGCAAAAATATGTGAGGTCATATTAAGGTTATGGATACCAAAATTCGTGTATGTGTTATGTGAGCCTGAACGAGGCGCTGTTTTGATAGCGAGTTAAAAAGGCCTGTGTTTAAATACGTTTGTTTGATTCTGCATGTGTGTGTGTGTGTGTGTGTGTGTTATTTCATATCATGGTCTGTTTGACTGTCTGTTTGTCTTTCTGTTTGTGTATGTTTAAGCACAGACGATTGATAGTATACAGACCAAAGAACCAACAAAACTTCTCGTTAACTAAAACAGAAGAACAATTAGGAGTGTTTCCTCTCCATCTCACACCAACATCAACAAACTCCTTCTTTCCACCCTCCCTCTCCCCCCCTTCCTTCCTTCCTTATAACCTTCCCTCCTTTCACCCATCTCTCTATCCTCCCATATTCTTATCATCCCCTCCCTTATCCATTTCCTATCCTTTTCACATATTTATCTCTCTTTCTCTTTCTCTCATATCATTATCTCTCCCACGTCTTAATTTCCATATCTTCCTTTTCTTTTCCTTTCTTGTTCTTATCTCTCCCCGAACACTCGCTCTTCTCCTTAGTCGATTCTATCTATTGGGACACACACACACACACACACACACACACACACACACACACACACACACACACACACACACACACACACACACACACACACACACACACACACACACACACCAACGTTCGCGGATACAAACGACATAAATTTACGTCGTGAGAGATTAGACTCGAGCGTCGCCAAATGTTTTATTGTGGTGAAGCATAACAGGCGAGGCAATGTCGTAATGACGTAACGATATTACGTATATGTAATACCGGATCCTGACTGGTTCAGACCCTTCTAGTGTGCCTGTATTGTGGACGAATTGATAAATATTTTATTCATTCATTCTTTAGGTTTTTATGGGTTAAGTTTTGGCTCATTTTTCTCGTTTCATTGGTCGTAATTCATCTTTATGTCCCCATTGGAGGTTGAATATAAACACCTACGTGGTTTGAAATGTCTATCTCTCTAATTGATCTTGGGGTAAGCAAAGCGTCATGGGATATATTGCCAAATACGCGCACAAACGAGTGAGAGACACGCATAGGGACGCGTGTCCACACACCTGCTTAAGTTACTGCCACCGACACACAAACACAAATTATATATATATATATATATATATATATATATATATATATATATATATATACACACACACACACACACACAGTTACACACATACACAAAACGTAATCGTAATCATTCTAAACAGGATGTTATACGGGTAAGCAAAACAACGCAGACGTGACAAGTACAACACAGCAACACCGTATTTCTGTCACACATTAGTGATATTCCAAACTACATCGATCACAAGGCATGAAAATTACCACCGATTGTAGGCAGCACAAGTGGAACACGGGGAATAACACTTCCCAATTTTAGCCTTTATACCTCTTATCTGTAAGGTTTATATCATGAAATATTGGAAGTGTACACGTAAGCAGATCAAACCAATTACAGTGTATGATGCAAGAGAAAAATATCGGCGTTGATGATTATTTACAAGCGACTTTAGGTGTCGATCAATAACAGCAATTGTTTTTTGTTTTTGTTTTTTTCTTCAGGGAAGAGAGGAAGGTGGGTTTATATTAGTCATTGTGGTATTGGACATTAATCAATAAATCAGTTTCGTTGTAGAAAGGTTACACAGTTTGCTTCTCTCTCTGTTTAAATCACCAGCTGTGCCGCTTGTGCCAACACGACAATAGCGGCACAGCTTTTTGTATGTCATGATATTCAACACCCAGAAGAAAAAAAAATCATAATTCTAAGAAAAAATAACGTGAATGTGGGCTAAAATATTGATAGCAAGACTTTTGTTAATCAAGTCTGTATAGTTTTTGCGAGAATCTTGAGTAAAATTAAAACGCGCACAAGGTGTTGTGAAATGATGATGTACATTGAGCGTGTGTTTGTGTAATATCTACACCTGCAAGTTTATTTATGAATTGATAGACAAATTATATATATGTTAGAGAAATTTATTCTCTCAAACGCAGTTTTCCCTTCAACATCTGCAGCACACCGTACGAGAGATGGTCCCTGGGATGAGGGAGAGGGAAGTTGTGGGGGAAAGGGGAGGGGAGCAGAGGGGAGGAAGGAGGAGAGAACTAAGAATCATTAAAGGTCACTAAGAATTGTCTTAAGATGGATGGATTCTCCTAAGGCCTGACATGAGGGGTGCAGGTGGTGGGAGGGGTACTCGGACACTACAAAACGTGATTCACAAAGGCGAGTTTCTGCCAGTTTCCCCCAGTGGCGTCACCCTTATCGACGACCATAAATCTTCAACTCGTGTGTGTTCATGTCAAGGCCTCACGTATAAGTGGCAGACAGCAGAGGAAGAAAATCTGACATGTTTCACAGCGGGGAGAGATGACCTCATAGGCTCTTTGCTTGTAGATGGCAGAGGCAGCGCTTAATCTCCCCAAAGAAGCAAAACAATGGCTCACGGAGACAGAGAAACGGAGGAGTGTCTCAAAAAAAAAATGAAAACAACAGAAGAGACACTGATGAAACGAAACGAAATTATCAATAATTCAAAGGGGAATGAAATACATATTATCTTATTCCAAAGAAATGTATCGTATTTATCAAAGCTAACAACAGATATCCGTTATATAAATAAATTAGTATAAATATTAAGCAAAACTGTCACCTTCATCAGCTACACACGAGTATGGTCAACAATTTCTTTCGCCTGGAAGAACAAGAATTCTCTGGATGCCTTAATAAGACTCTCCCACCCACTACTCCCAGCATGAAGGTCATCCTCATCTCCTCCTCTCATATGAGAATCTAACAGTCCCCCCGAGTCCTAGTAGCCTTCTCCTCCTACGCGAGACGTTCTGCTTCACAATCGTCACCACCACAAACACGATCGCAATCACCACCACAAACACCATCATTCAATCACCACTTCAAACACCATTACAACTACTACCACAAACACCATCCCCACCATCAGAAGCACTACCATGCATAACCACCATCACCACCAACACCATCACTACCATCATCATTGTTACCATCATCACCACCACTGTTACCAACATCCCCATGACCATTACCATCCCCAACAATCCCATTACCAACACCTCTAGTGGAATTACCCTCATTGCTATTATCATTACCACCACCACTACCACTATCGTTACCATTACTACCACTACCACCACCTCCGATAAGCAAAGAGTGGTATAGAAATAGATTGAATATAGAGGAAATAAGTGGAGTTAATAAGAGTGAAGTAAAAGGGTGAATGTGGAAAATAAGAATAATGAAAGATGAGAGAAAGAGAATGCAAAGGGAACCAAAAGAGGAATGTTGGAGGGGAGAATGAAGGAGAAGGAAAATAAGAAGGATATGGAGCA